TCAATAAAAACTACCACAAACTGATCTAAGAAGAGTTTAAATACTCTGTTCATTAAATCTATAAAAGCTACAGGCGCATTGGTCAACCCAAATGGCATCACTAAAAATTCATAATGCCCATATCTAGTTTGGAAGGCTGCCTTAGGTATATCTTCCGCTTTAACCTTCAACTGATGATAGCCAGAACGAAGGTCAATCTTAGAAAATACTCGTGCTCCTTGCAACTGATCAAATAGGTCATCTATCCTAGGCAAAGGATATTTATTTCAGATTGTCACCTTGTTCAACTCTCGATAATCAATGCAAAGGCGAAAACTACCATCCTTCTTTTTCACAAATAAAACAGGCACACCCCAAGGAGAAACACTAGGCCTAATAAAGCCCTTATCTAATAACTCTTGTAACTGTTCTTTCAACTCTTTCAACTCTGTTGGAGCCATCCGATACGGAGCCTTGGAGATAGGACCCGTACCGGGTATCAATTCAATGGCAAACTCAATCTCTCTATCTAGTGGCAACCACGGTAACTCTTCAGGAAAAACATCGGGAAATTCCTTCACAACTAGAATATCCTCTAACTTCAATTCAGTCTCACGGGTATCTCTCACAGAAGCTAAATAGCCCTCGCACCCATTCCTTAACAATTGTCTAGCTTGCAAAGCTAAGATGACCAAAAGACGAGTGTTAACTCCACTACCCACAAAACAAAATTCTGGTTGATTAGGAATCTGAAATACTACCCTTTTTCCTCGACAATCAACAGAAGCATAATTGGTTGCCAACCAATCCATTCCAAGAATTATGTCAAAGTCCCGCATATCTAAAACAGTTAAGTCTACAAGCAATTTTCTATCATCTATACTAACCACACGAGATTTGCAAATTAAGTCAGCAACCATAACACCTCTTATCGGGGTTTCAACACATAAGTCGATCTCTCTAGAGACACATTTCCATCCATGTTTCTCAACAAATCCCATAGGCACAAATGAATTTGTAGTGCCAGAATCAAATAACACATGTGCATAAACAGAAGACACTAAAACAGTACCTGACACCACCGTGTTGGAAGTCTGAACATCTTGTTGCGTGAGTGCGTACACTCGACCCCGAGTCTTTGGCTTATGACCTCCATTTTTCTTTTGACTTCCTGAAGACCCTTTGTCTGTTGATGCTCCTTTATTTGTCCATGTCTTCTATTCAATCTCATGCCCCTTCCGGTTAGGGCAATCAGCTATCCTGTGCCCTTGTTGCCCGCAAGAGAAACAAGCCCCAGTATTCCAACAACACTCACTATCCTGATGAAATCCATTACACCTAGTGCATTGTACCCGATCATTCTTCTTATCAACATTACTACCCATAGTTCGACTTCCCCAACTCCCAACTGAAGGAGTGTTTTGTCTCTTAGCATTGCCCTTCGAACTGTTAGTTTAGAAGTTGGAAGAACTAGGCCTCTTCTTATAATTCTCTTCTTTCTCTTCTTGGGCTCTAGTGAAGCCACTTTCAACCAACAAAGCCTTATTCAACACTGCTCCAAAAGTAGGTAACTCGAAAGGAACCACCTTTTGCATAATGTTCGTTCTTAGCCCACCTTCAAACTTTCGTGCTCTACTATCCTCATCTGTTTCAAATGCTGATGCAAATTTAGACAACTTCGTAAACTCAGCTTCATATTCTGCAACCGTCTTATTCCCTTGCTCTAACTTCAAAATTCCCTCTGTTTTTGTAGACGAACACTCCTAGGGAAGTATTTCTCATTGAATGCATCCTTAAACCTTTCCCATGTATAGGGGTTGGCATCATGCTCGTGTATGCGCTTCTCCATCTGCCACCAATCATTAGCTATCCCTTGTAGCATAAACGTAGCATAGGTCACCTTCTGATCATCCGTACACTAAAAAACAGGAAACAACTTTTCCATTTCTGTCAACCATTTTTCAGCCTCCAATGGGTCTGTGGCTCCGTCAAATGCCAAGGCTATCTTCTTAAACTCAGTAATGTTACAACGTGGCCTTGGTTGTGGCCCAACGCCTGGCTGCATCCGCTGTTGTTGCTCCATAAGTCTAGTCAAGTTATTCCCTATGGTGGTTTGTTGTTGCACCACCCGGCCAAAGTCTGAAGCACTTGAACCATACCAATTGGATTAGGGATTGCAGCCTGTTCTTATTGTCCCAACTCTTGCCCTTGATTTCCTCCGACTGCTTGAGAACCACTACCATTATTAGTCACGTTCCCTCGCCGATTGTTACTAACTCTTGCCCCTGATTTCCTCCGACTGCTTGAGAACCACTACCATTATTAGTCACGTTCCCTCGCCGATTGTTACTACCAGTCCGTCGATTCATTTGACCCTGACGTGTGTTCCTAGCCATATTTGCCAATGTCTCCTCATGTTCCATCGCAACCTAAATGCATCAATAATAAAACCTTATCTTATTCTATTCTCAAGCTCCTATAACATAAAAATAAAAAAAAATAATAAAATTAACATTATATCAAATTATAAGCGTTCCCAATCCTACATCTACCTAATCTCACCACTATTCTATACCAACCTTTAAAATTACAATCTGGCTCTGATACCACTAAATTGTCACGTCCCAAGCTCCATGACAACGCCGCACACTCATTTAAGTGAGCATGCAAGGCTAAGAGTCTAACACATAACTAACAATGTAAAATACTCCAATCAAATCCTTAATTATCATAATACTAAAATCCATAAAAAAAAAATGATTATTCTTATCCTATGAAATTATTCATCAAGTCCACTAATAAAATCCATTAACAAAATAAATAATCCAAGTACTTAAATCATAGTCCTACTCTCGGCACTCCCATATGTAAAAAAACCCCGCGTAGCTCTACTCTTCAGAATCTGAAAAAAATAAAATAAGGGTAAGCTAGACAGCCTAGTAAATAACCAACCATCACTGCCAGCTGGATCAAGTATATCAAAAAGAAGTAAATAAATAGTCGATAACCAATAAATATAATTTTTGATACAAGTCAATAAATGACATGATTATTTGTAAGATGGTTTCATAGCTAAAAATAAACAGTGTAGCAATACATTTTAATTAAAAGTAAATGGGATAACTCGATGAAATTTTGTTATCCAAAATTGATAGATCGATATTCAGATGGTTCAATGATCGGTTCACAAAACCCAAGTCTTAACGACTACGGTTACTTAGCCCGTGACAAGGCCCAGAACTACACATAGGCTGGTGGTAAAGCCCCAAAAGAAACTAGTTTCTGTGCCAATAAATAACCCCCATTGGCTAGGGTCCAAATCATAGTCAGACTAGAGTGATGTTCAAAATTCACACAATACACAAATTTTAAATAAAACATTCGATATTTTCAGAATAAACGTTTAGTATAATTTTCAGAATAGTTTCACCGAATATTCAAATAATTTTCATAATAATATTCGATGTTGTTTTATACTTGACCCATATTTTATTTTAAGAGAACAGGAAAGCTACGAATAAATATTTATGATTTTAAACGATTCGATAGGATTAAAAATAAACCAACAGTGATAGAAGGTTACTTACCTCAAACAGCTAAAATAATATTTCCCAAGCTAATCTCAAATTACCAAGATCCACCTCAATCTCACAAACCTAATAAAATATTATACCACATAAACAATTATTATTGATCACCATGATGCATCTATCATTCTTTTCTTTATAATATAATAATCTAATAATATAGTCTACAAGTAAAAATCCAAAACCCCAAACCCCAAAATACAGCTTCCTCAATCTTCAAGACTTCATCTATTCTATTGTTATTTATTTATTTATTTTTATATATATAAGCCCATAGTTGTTAGAAGTCAAAACCAATAGGATTGCTTATCACATATCAGACCCAAACATGCACACCCAAACCACATACCAGATACTTGTAGAAAGGGATAGTTAGGAGTACCATAAAAAAAGTCTTACCTCCAAGAGATGATTAGATCAAAATCACCAATCTATGAATCTTCTTTCTTTTCTTTTCTTCTTCCTCTTTTTCTTTCTTTTTTTTTTTTACTACTCCTAAATCTGCGCAGCAGCCACACCCTCCAAAACCTCTATTTGTTTGTGCTTATATGTTTCCAAGACCTAAAGCCCAAGTGGGCTTATAACCCAATCTCCCAAAATTACAAACTTAACCATCTAAGTAATAAAAATTATGAAGCCACCTCATAACTCATAACTAATTCCTTGATAGTACTAAATGACCCATATAAATTAATTTAACTATTACTTTATTCAAAAAAATAATTCTACACATAAAAATTTGGATTTTACAGGAAAGGATTAGTTTTAATTGCTAAACATAGGCACAAGCTTTATGGATTCTTCTTGGCATATTTTCATATCAATATTGGGAATGGTAATAGAGTCAAATTCTGGACTGATAGGTGGTGTGGTACCACAAGTTTAACAGAAGAATTCCCAAGCCTGTTTAGCCTATCTTTGGAAAAAATGTGGATTCAGGCCTCGTTTGGGAACCCTCCTTTTTAGCCAAAAAGTCAAAAAGTTACTAAATTAGCCAAAAAGCCAACAACCCATACCAAAAAGTCAAAGATTCTCTTTTCTCTCTACTATTTGCACATTTTTTCGTAAAAAGCCAAAAAGTCATCCCAAACATACTAGTTTTTTTTATCTCATATTTTAGCCAAATAGCCAAAAAGTTACTAAATTAGCATGTTCCCAAATGAGGCCTAGTAAGAATGATGTTCTTTTTGAATTCAAATTCATTTTAATAACTGTTGGGTTTCAATAGCTTATTTCTCTGGCGTGCATCACAAATATTGAAATATCTTTGCAATTATTTTTCAAGTGTCTTTATTGGGCCTAGGTGCAATAGTATATGCAATAGATATATTAAATTGCCACATATCTTGACAATTTAATTTGAGTACCACATGGAAGCTCTTTCATTATTATTTAATTCTTTTTCCTAAAATTATGGTTTTCTATGTACGCACATTCGATATGGCTGTACATAGTACCTCATGGGATCAGAAGTTTAATGAATTATATCAAGGAAAAGTATGGGAATCCTCCAGTCATCATCAATGAAAATGGTAACCCTCTAAACGCACAAAAAAGTGTCAAAGTATATAATTGTTCAATCCAGATAGTTCTTTTATTTTCTTTTACAAAACGTTGCATTTGAGCTTTGAAGTTTTCAAATCCCACTTATATTTGTTTCTACATCTTTGTTTGATTAGTTTAAGTGGTTACTAGTTGGATTTTATTTTCATTTGGCATAATATGTGATTTCGTTTGGTACTGTAATTAATCTGTGTCTAGTAATTGAAATATTGTAAAGCATCAACAACATGATTTCATGTCCATATATCGTCATACTTTAAGCAAATCAATTAGCAAAGGAAAAACCGATAAAATCTATAACATTATAGATGATTTCAATATTTTCAAGCCCAAATTCTTCCTTGTAACAAGAAGGATGAAAAATCATGAAAAACGCAACTTACTTATCTTTTGCGTGGCTTTATAGGAATGGATGATTCAAATAACCCATTCACTTCGATTAAGGATGCCCTAAAGGATGAGAAAAGGATCAAATACCATAATGACTATCTCTCAAACTTGCTAGCTTCTATCAAGTAAGTAATTTCTTTACATAAATAGGTATGACAATTTGGCAAATGTAAGCTAATATGTTATGGGCTATGAAGCACGGACACCTCTCCGAGGGCTCCGTACCAGTGTCAGACACGTGTCGGACACGGACACGCGTCGGACACGCAGTTGACACGTGTCTGACACGCACCAGAGAGTGTCCCTTTTTTTTTTAATTTTTCAACATCCGGACACGTTCAGGACACGTTATAGACATGTTTGGGACACGCGCGGGGCAATTTCACAATTTACTAAATATTTTTGGGGTCGATTTGTAACTAAGCAAAAACAGATCTGCGATTTTGCCCTAATCTACTTCAAACTACTTCGAAGAGTAGAGAAACGGCAGAGAAAGGGTGAGAGAGAGCACCTGACTTCGTTGTTCGTCGTTCGTCTTCGTCTTCTCTCCTCGTCGATCGTCGCTCCTCGTCGGGTGTCTGTCGTCGGTCGTCTATCGTCGATCGTCTCTCGCCCTTCGGCGATCTGCGATCTTCATTCTTCGTCGATCGTCAGTCGCTCTCTCTCTCTCTCTCTCTCTCTCTCTCCCTCTGCTCTTCTTTCCTCAGACGATCGAACTCGTCTGATTTTATCATATTTTTTTCTTTTATTTTTTTTATTCTGATTTTAATTTAATTTTATTTTTCTTTTAATTTTTTTTCTTTTATTTTTTTTCTTTTTTCTGATTTTAATTTAATTTAATTTAATTTTTTCTTTTCTTTTATTTTTTATTTTATTCTAATTTTATTTAATTTTTTCTTTTCTTTTCTTTTTTATTTTATTCTGATTTTATTTCATTTTTTCTTTTCTTTTATTTTTTTTATATTCTGATTTGATTTTTTCTTTTCTATTATTTGAGTATATAATTTTAATATTGTATGTTTATTAATTTTATTATAGGAAATTTTGAAACAATTTTATTTTGTATATTTTATTACCTTTATTTGATTTTTTTAATAATTTTATGACATATAATAAATAAAATTAATTATATATACTGAACGTGTCCCCAACATGTCGTGTCCCCTATTTTTTTAAAATTTACGTTTTTGCGTGTCCGTGTCGTGTCCGTGTCGTGTCGCGTGTCCGTGTCCGTGCTTCATTGGTTATGGGTTTTACTAAATTGCAGAGAGGATGGATGCAATGTCAAAGGTTATTTTGTATGGTCTCTATTGGAAAATTGGGAGTGGGCATCAGGATACACTTCGCGCTTTGGTCTCTATTTTGTGGATTACAATGACAAGCTGAAGAGGTACCCCAAGGATTCGGTTAAGTGGTTCAAGTCTTTTTTGACTTCTACATGAAAATGAGTTGCTTTTGCAACTGCACATTACACCAGGCATGATCACACATGCAATTAATACGTAAAAGGATTGTTTTGGTACATTTTTTTTACCTCTGTGAACTTCATTACTATAAGACATTTTCACTTTAATGTGTTGATTATTAACTGAAAAATTACTCACATGTTTTTATGTGGAAAAAAGCATTGTCTTTGGCTGTTTCTTCTAGCAAATAGAATCCTTTCATGCGGAAAGAAAAAAAATCTCAATGTGCCATCACAAGTAGTCAGTTAAATTTCTAAATGTTCAAAAATTGCATACATTTTAGGGTTGTTCATAAGCTCATTCAACCCGCTTAACTGCCCAAACCAGCCCAACCCACTACTTCATAGTCGATTTTGCTGCCTTATTTGGTCATAAATGAGTGCCAATCTACTAAAAAACTAAGTCACAGTTTGGAGATCTGATACAAAGTGTTCCACCCAAATGAAACCTGCCCGCCTGAAGATATTTGACTCTACTTCATAGGTGGCATAATCTCATTTGTTGGTGTCTTATCACTTAGACAACTATATTTTTTTAATGCTCTGCCATTACACTGCTCTCGATTAGAGAGCAATCACTTCATCATTATACTTTTCTTTTTCCTTTTTTGAACTGATTCATTATTACATATTGTAACGCCCCAAAACAAAGAGACATTCTACTCCATTATAATATTGCTAACATGTGGAACATAACAACAATATAATTATGCAATACCGTTTCCAACATATGCCTTAGTACATTCTTTTAGTTCTACAACATGAATTTTATCCATAATGAATAAAACTAAATTATTATTAGTTAATACCTTAAAGGCTACAAAATTCCAAGGCCTTGCCCGGATACAGCAAATGAGTCACAACTCAATACAAACAAAATTATTACAAAGATGCCCGTGGCTTAAATTACAATAGATAACTAAGGAAAACAATAATATGAGCCTCAAGCTCCAAGAACCTCCCAAGTCATTACCTTGGTGGAGGCACACTAGTTCATCTAAAAAGTGGTTTCCCTCATAGAGTGAGCATAAAGCTCAGTAGAAATAAATTTAATAACATATATGAAGCTTAACGACGTCATAAGATGAATGCACATGAAATATCATGGTAAAACATGCATTTTCTTTCTTTGAAACAATGTAAGGCGAGATTTCCAAAGCATCTTTTCAAATCAATAAAATTCTTTCAAAACAATCAAGTGGTAAATATAATGAATAAATCTCCAAGGCTAGTGTTCATAATAGTAACTATACAAGTCAATATGCCATTTTTACTGGTACTCACCAGAATGCTCAGCACCTACTGTATGAGTTTTAGGTCTCATACCATAGACACACATGCCAACTTTATTATACTTTAACACCCCCTTACAGCTTCACCATTTTATTTACCATTTCAATAATACAATACATGCATCTCAAAACAGCAATACATTTTCCGAAACGTGAAATCTCCAGTTACAAATCTATGATATGCACAATGCGATGTATGATTTGTGAACATTTCCATTTCCCTAATCCACATGAAGTTTCTACAACAATTAATACAACCCTCCACGGGTTGCCAAAAACAATTATCTTTGATTAAAAGACAACAACAATAATATTCCAAAATCATAACCAAATCAGAATCCCAATGATTTATACAAAATCTAATGATTTCCAAAACAACATTCACACTCCTCACGAGTCTTGTCAACCTCAACTGAAAATATACAATTTTTCCAAATAAACCGCTTACATAGTTTCCAACAAAACCAGCATTTCAAATGAGTAAATAATACTTGGTATTTTCCAATTATTGAAAACATTTTTCAACCAAACCTCATTTCAACCAAAATCCCACAACCATTCTAATTCCATCTTTTTCCATAAAAGCATTCAAAACCCTAGTTTTTGATTAACATTTGAAAACCCATTATAAACCAAATGTTTCCTTCAAAACTACATAACATAACAAGCACTAGGTTACCAATCCCAAACCATAATTGAAAACAGATATTTTTTCCCAAATTTGTGCATTAATAAATATATATCCAAATCTATGCTTTTGAAAACCTATAACTAACAAAAATAACATATAACAAAGCTAAACAATATGCACGCCGTTAAGAAAATCCCTACCTCTACTCCAAAAGAGAAGAAAGCCCAAAATCTCCAAAATTCAATGTCGATGAAAACACGAACTTTTTAGATTAGAACGAAGCCCTCGACTAACTCTATATTTGCTCCAAAGGACAAAGATGTAGAGATCAAAGGGTGAGGGTGTATTTGAGGTTTAAAGGTGAATTTTTGAGAAAGGGAGAGTAGATCTAGGTTTTTGAAATGTTTAGAGAGAGAGAGAGAAATGAAAAAGTGATTCAAAAAGTGACTTTTACGGACTAATATACGTGCAAACCACTTGAGCGACCAAAACACCGCTCGAGCAACACGACACAATAAGTGAGACCGCTCGAGCGCACAATGACACACTCCTAGAAGTTTTGCAGACAGAGGCTAATCGCTCGAGCACAAGAAAGGCTGCTTAAGCCAAGATTGCTCGAGCGCAAGAAAGTTTGCTCGAGCTAGAAACACTATAGTCCTAGAAGTTTTGCAGACGTACAAAAGTACTGAGAGTTCGCAAAGACCGCTTGAGCACAAGAAAGTTCGCTCGAGCGAATAAGCAGAATTCTAGGTAATAACTCCTTTGAAAAACGATCCCCAACTTGTTTCAAATGCAACCGCAATACTTAAATAATCCAATTCAACAAGAAATAAGATGAACAAGGACATGAACAACCATCAAGACAAGGAATCCCAAATCCAAAAAAAAAAAATAGATGGGTAGGGTGTAAACTGAAATCGTTATACACTTTATCACATCCTTTTCTTCTTTTCTTATGCGTTAATTTCTCTGTCTCATCACTTCATTTTTTTTTTTTGAAAAATTTGTTTCCCATGTGTTTGACACTAGAGGGGGTGAATAGTGTTTTAGCAAACCCCAAATTCTTAAATAAGAAATAATTCTAATGTAATGAAGTTCACTAAATAAACTCAAACAACAAGAAAACACAAGTGCAATGTATGTGTAACAATGTATGAAACACTTGGTGTGCAATATTCAAGTATTTAGGAAGACTTTCTTCTTCTCTTTTGCGTTAATTTCTCTGTCTCATCACTTCATTTTTTTTTTTTTGAAAAATTTGTTTCCCATGTGTTTGACACTAGAGGGGGGTGAATAGTGTTTTAGCAAACCCCAAATTCTTAAATAAGAAATAATTCTAATGTAATGAAGTTAACTAAATAAACTCAAACAACAGGAAAACACAAGTGCAATGTATGTGTAACAATGTATGAAACACTTGGTGTGCAATATTCAAGTATTTAGGGAAGACTAATTAAATTGTGTTAAACAAATCTTCAAACACTTGTTATTAAACAGATGAACAAATAATTAAATATGTTGTAGCGGCAAGCAATCTTAAATAAAATTCAACAAATAAGTAATATATATATATATATAGAGAGAGAGAGAGAGAGAGAGAGACAGACAGAGAGAGAGAAATCAAACACAACGAGTTGTACATGGTTTAGTATCTGCCTACACCCACGCCTCAAGAACATCCCTTGAGGATTTTCACAATCCACTATACTTTTTCTTAAAGATGGAGAACACTTTTTACAAGTATCTAGAGTTTACAACTCTACAAGGATGAAGACAATCCTGCTTTTTCCTTACAAGGGTTACAACCTAACCCTTTGTATACAATGAGTAAATATGGATTTTAGTACAAGAAAAACAACTCCTTAATGAGCACATATTACATCCAAAAACTTACACAATATATCTCTCAAAATATGAAACAAATAAGGTTAGAATCGAATCAGGTAGAGATGGAGCAAATTTCACATATAAAGATTGTTATTCTCTTCGCTGTGTTATGCTACAAGAGATGCCTTATATATATATAGACATTGGGAGAGAGAATAGTCCAACTAGCCGTTACAAAGTAGCCATTTGAAAAACTAGCCATTATGAAGAAGCCATTTGAAAAACTAGCCGTTATGAATTTGAATTTGCAAACTAGCCGTTTTGAATTTGAATTTTGAGAGCCTGTCATGGTCTCGAATTAGATGAACAACCATAGCCTGTCATGGTCTCGCACATAGCCTGTCTTATCTCTTAAGTATGCTTCACATATTCCCCTTGTATTTGAAATTTTAAAAAAATGAAAAAAAAATATTTATTTATAATATCGAATACGTATCTCACCATATTAAATGTGGGTTTATATTTAATATGTATTCGATACTCGTACGATACATTTTTTAAATTTCCTTACTTCATAAAAATTAAGATATCAACATTACACAATTGAAGATGTCAAATCCTCACTGTAGAATCAATAAATAAAACTATGTACACAAAGCTACAAGAAATGATCGTAGAAATAGCCAAATCATATTTTTTTCTTTTTCTCTTGTTTCTTGTCATTTTGTTCATAATTTTTTGATATGACTGTAGGACCATGCTTTTTTGTTTTTCTTTTGTCAAACATTTGTGTATTGTAATTTTATGATTGTTTGGAAACAAGAAGATATAAAACTTATGAAGGACATGGGAATGGATGCCTACAGGTTTTCAATTGCATCGTCTAGAATTTTTCCCAGTAAGTTCTATCTGTTTCTCACCTCTATATACTAGAGAAAAATATTGTACATTAACTAATTTTTTCGTTTTTGTAGTATGAATCATGTGAACATCTACGAATTGATTCAACATTTAAAACAAGTAATAAATACATAACAATGTTCTGTAAATCAACAATGCTAGGTATCATGAACAACTTTTCATGAAAATAATCATGAAAGTTTTGTGACCTTTTGATTATACTTAGAATAAAGCACCACACACTAATTAAGGTAATCCAAAGATCATAAATCTTTCATGATCATTTTCATGATCCCTAATTTTTCTCTCTGTAAATTATTGTGGTTCAGCATTCAGCAAGACTCTCATTGGCCATAAAAGGAAAATTTGATTTTTTCATAAAAAAAATAATTATATATATATATATATATATATTTTTCTTTGGATACATATGAGCAAGGACAGACCCTAAAAGAGACGGTGAGGGCCATGGCCCCCTGCTCACTTGAACATACTGTTGTTAATATTTGCAAATAGTCTATGCTTTTCATTTTATACTTACTTGGC